GGCGGATTTATCTATTAATTTTTTTATTTGTCATTTCCCTCATCATGAAATGCAGTAGGCCTACCTAAAGATTTAAGTTTCCGATTCTCTTTTTAAATTTTATTTCTAAATGCGCTGATGCGCTGGCACTGTTATACAATACCCGTTTTCAAAAATTTCCAGGACATGCTCCTGTTTTTGTTTTTTTTTAAGATTGTAGAAACTGCTTTTAGAATTTACTTCCAGTGCAAGTTTTTGCATTTTTGTATATTTTGTTGTGCTGCTTGCCCCGGAGCTGGGCGCGTGCCGCAGGCGCCCCTCCCAAAGTGTCAGTAGCCTCATCCGACGACAATGTGTTATACTGGGCACGTTCGCGAGGGCCGTTGTTCTTCCCTTTTCCCTGCTGCGTTGACGATCCATCCATTAGATGAGAGGGGGGGGGGGGGTAGAGGTAGGCTCCTGATGGCAAAGGGCCGTGCCGTCCGGTGCCGTGCGGGTCCCCCCCCCCCCTTCCCCTCTGGCGGCCGTAAAACAAAATGACGGAGCACCTAATCAAGCGTGGCACTTTGATGTCTGCTGTACAAATGGGCGAAATAAAGCAACAACGGGTATCGCACCGGTGGTGGTTGCGGCGGTGGTGATGGTAGCAGCGTGGTGGTGACCCACTTGCTGCTGCTGCTGATGGTTTATTGCACCTGCCGCAGCGGGATACGCGCGCGCGCCGCCGCCGCCGCCGCTTTTTGGGCGCGTGCGCAGTGTGACAAAACGACAGCTCCACTCCGTGGTGCATTTGTGAAGGGCAACTGAGCGGAGCGCTTCAGTGCAGAACGGCACTGATGATGTCGAAGTCACCATGAAATGTTCAACTTCGTAGATTTGAATTAGTAAACGAGCACTGCACACTCATACAACCGTTTAGTTCAGGCGACCTAATTCAGGACCGACGAAATTTTGGGTCGGTGGGCTGGATATTAACCGTGCTAATAAAAACATTTAGTCAAATTACCTTAGTTTTGATACACTGATAAATGCAGTGTGAAACTGGGGTGCACATGCAAGTGCTCAATACTGTACTATGTTGCACACATGTAAGTGTTTGAATATGAAATACTAAAAAGCAGCTAAAGACTGCTAACAGTAAAGTTGCACACCTAAAACTGTGCAACTCTGGGTTTTGTCATAGCTATGGACACTTTGAAGTGTTCCAATTTTCCGTCCAACACTTAAGAGTGGCCATCATAGAGTAAAACATTGCCATGTGCATGCCAGTTGTACACTTTATTTATCAGTGTAGACTTGACCAAATTTTGTTAAGAATGAAGGTACTAATTCGTTGTTGGTTTCATTAGCTAAGTTTTGCTTCCTGCGACTCTGATTTGGTGTTTTGGTCGAATAAATTGAACGGCTCTCTGGTTGCAAGTCCTCTGTTGCACCACTTCCTTCATATTAGGACGCGTAATGTGTAAAAAGTGTTGAACAGAGGAGTACCCTTACAAGTGTACAACCATCAAGTTGACCAGTTTCAGGTACACAACTTGGAGTTGCTCACTTGCAAGTTCCAAACTGTTGCACACTTGGCTGATCAGAGTACCGTATCACTAGAAATCAGTTTTATCTGCGAGGTTAAAATCTACCTGTTTAAACTGTAAGACTTTCCAGTATCCCGGTTCTTTATTATGAGACTGTTCAATCTATTTGTTTTAGCCATGAGAAACTTGAAACTAAACAGAACTGAATTCTGTGTTTCTTTTTGTAGAATTCTCATTTGTTTTATGAGGAACCTCATCATCGTATTTTTAACTATTTATTTGCTAAGGTCGACAGGTCGACAATTGGTTTGCGCTCCGAATAATTTGTTCGCAGGCTCGCGAAGAATTATGTCGTCACTGATTGATAATTCATACTTTGTAAGTTGTAAGTGAGAGACTTTGCGTCTTAAACTTGCAACTGGTAGTCCACAACATGTCTCACTTGCAAGTAAAAAACCATAAAAATCTCACCTTACATGTGCATGGTGAGACCAAAAGCGCGCTTGTACAAGGGAGACACGTATGGTCCAACACTTTAAATGTGAAATGCGTGTGGTTTTACACTTGTTAATTGGTGAGACTCATATGTGGTCTTTAAGTTGCAAGTATGAGATAGCAGACAGGTGCGTATTAAGGTGGAGGCGAAGGGCGATCGCCCCCCCCCCCCAAAAAAAAAAAATCGTCCCTACTGAGCCGCCTGAAGGGTAGGCAATATAAGCCACAAAACCCCTGTAAATAGGCAACCGACAGTGCATCGACCCCCCTGTCGACCGGGCCTTAATCCGCGCCTGATAACAGGTGTAGCACACAACTGTTATACTGTATCACACTCGAGTTCCAGATTTCCCAAGCACATCCAGAAAGATATATTTTTGCGGTTCAAGTGTGAAATTTGAATCTGTCTGGCTACGGGTAAAATTGGTCTCAAATCAAGTTCAGAATGCTCTTCACTCGACTGAGTGTATTTCGCACTTCAACTAAGAATCCACTTTTCATGGTGCATTTTTGCAGTGCACGTTGTTATCTCCCACACATTGTGTAATCAAGGTTGTTGCAATTCCCAGCTTCAATCAGCAAGCCCATAGGGTCGATCTTAAGATCAATCTGTCGGCGCGTTCGATGCACGATTTTGTTCCTAACTACTCATTACACAGGAAAAAATGATTAAGCTGTGATAGCTAATGTGTTAGCTGTCAGCGTGACAAGCAATGCGTTAGCTGCGAGAGCTAATCTTTGTCTGTGAGGGCCAAGCACCTGTTTACTATAGCAGATAATCACGTCAGCTGTAAAACTAATGCGGGATAAAAAATTTAATAGATGTTCAAAGTTAAATTTTTGGACAGTTGTTCTATCAATGTTGTTGAGGGTGCGTCCTACCTTACTTTTACTGTCCACGACAAGGAACTAGAACCGACCCAAGTGGGTATTGAACCCTCGCCCTTCGGCGCTGCACGTCAACTCGAAGGCTCTGAGCCACTGCGTGCGTTGAGACTGGGATAAAAAGCAAGCAGTCAAGTGGGAACTCGGAAAACCAACCTTGATGTTTAGAATGTAGCTCTAATAGCTAGTAAAATGCGCTTGACCAGACTATAGACGTAAGCTGCCATAAGCAAACTCTGCTAAGCCGCAGGAGCTGTCGAGGATTAGTTGGTAGAGCTAATTTTTAGCTGGCCCACCCCATACATATTTTGTTGTTACTGTTGGCTGCTGGACACAACATGCCTCAGCCAACACAGCTAAGTAAAATTTAGTCACACGAGCTTAGGGGCATTTAGCTACAAAAAACAAACTTTCTCGTTTCTCACAACTAAGAATTAAGAATATTCAACAAATAAATGTGTTGTACTAGTTGAACTCCTTCCTTGTCATGCTGACAACAAACACGTTAGTTCTCCTAGCAAACATTGTGCTGAAATAGATAACTAATTTTTTTCTCGTTTCTCGCATTTGAAGACCCCGGCCTTGGATCTTTTGGAGAACGCCAATGGAATCCAAGACCAGGTTTTAAAATACAAGAGACTTTTTTTACCGTGTGGAGGGGATCAACTGACCAGCAAATCCCGAGCCTATCGCCAAAGGGTTAAACGTCGGCCCTTTGTTTGTCTCTAGTAGGTGCCGGCTGCGTGCTGCGTCATGTTTGATTAGAGCGGTGGCTCCTCCACCTGTTGCTCCCGATTCATTTCGACTCATCACGGCGTCTCTCGCGCTTCGACGTCTGATTCCCCCTGATTCGGTCCTCGCCCTTATCGAGTTGGAGTGGTCCGCAGCGTCCCGCGCGCCGGAGGCACAAGGGCGCAGTGCGCTCGTGGTACCGCGGGCCCCGAGGCGTCGCGTGGCTCACTGTCGCGGTTGGAACGGTGACGTGTCTGTGTCTGGACGGTGCCTTTCGGCTCCACGCTGGAGACTGCTGCGGCGGCCTATTCCTTGACCGTGATTAATTATTCAAGTGGACTCCAAGCGCGTGGTTGTCTCCGGGAGCCTGTGTGGAAGTGGTTGGTGATCCATATGCACCACTGGTGTGTTCAAGACGTGTGATCAACTAGTGTTCCAAAACATTTTCGTCCAAAACGGAGGTTTCCCATGGCTCCTGTTCGCCATGAACAGGGAGTCCTTGTTACGCTGGGTCCTTGCGGCGGAGTGTGACCGCGAACTGAAGCAGGCGTTGGCACTTGTAAGTGTAAGGGTTTCTGTATAAAGCGCAGTAATTTGCGAGAGATTCATACAATTCATTGTTCGTAGAAAAGCATTCCATACAATCTCGCCCAAGCAAACCTACGAGCACCATCTGAAACTGCGTTGTTCGCACATATTGGTATTAATATGTTTGTGCGCTCTGGCTTTAGCGAACTGTTTGAGTTATGCCGTTGATAGAAATTATAAAAGGATATACTCTGTGTACAATGTACACGTCACCTGATGTGTAACTATAAATGTTTTGTGTTTATTCAGTTAGAAAGTCCTGAACTTTATTCATTCGTCATCTGATGTGGAGTTCTAACTTTTCTGTCATACATATAAACTATACATTTCGCAAAATTCATACAATTTAAACATTGATATCTAAAAAGGGAACCTTTTCGGTTGTAAATCTCGGAAACTCGGAACATTTGATGGTTATTTATATAGAAATCGGGTAGCACACAAAATTTTGTCCGTTTCGCTCTATTTTGTATCCTTCAGGCGGTAGAGAGATATTTGGGACAAAAAGCAGTGGAAGACTTAAGTAAACCCCTACTAACTGTGAGGTTTAGGAAAAATTGCAAGTGTCATGCGACTTTTATCATAATAGCCTTTATTATTGGTTATTATTGGCCATTTGTCATAGACAGTATTTAGTCCTTAGTCGGAAACGAATGAATCCAAGAGAGCAAAAAAACTATTTCATATGATGAAGGGATGAAATATAGTTTGGAATCGAGTGTGCTTGTTCTTACCCACTTTGAAGGTGCATTTTATTCCCCGTACTCACCTTGCCATGTGTGTCTGTTGCAGGCTCGTGCGCCGTACGGGCGGGCGGTGAGCATGGAGCAGCGATGGCAGGACCTGGCCAACCTGCTGAGCCTGCCGGCCGGGCAGCAGCCCGAGGCGCCGGCGGGCCCGCTGCACCACCATCACCACCACCATCACCACCACCACCATGCGGGCGCGGCGGGCGCGGCGCAGCCGCAGCAGCACTACGGCTACGACGCGCACCCCGGCGCCTCGCCCCTGGCCTCGCCCGCGCGCTCAGTCGTGCTGCACAACGCGACGCTGGCGCCGCCCGTCGGCGACCTCAACAGCTCGAGCGTCTACTCGGGGCTGTCCATGGGGTCCGCGGTGGCGCAGTCCATGAACCTGACCAACAGCAGCGAGCCCATGGGCGACGGCGCGCCCGCCTCGGGCTTCAAGATGGAGCCGCACAACGACATGATGTACTACCAGGTGCGTCGCCATGCATAATCTCAAAGTGAACTGAACAGTAACATGGTAAATTTACAACATATTTTGTGTTTGTCAATTGTGATTTACAAAATATATTGTAAATTTACGGCAGCCTATTCTGCCAAGTGAATTACTTCTAATTTGAGACGTACGTAGTTCTTGGAATTTTACAATTTGAAACTAATTTTACAGGAGAAACCATGGAATATTTTCTTGTAACACTCACATGAATTTCTCACAGTGGAACGTTGGACTTCGCCTTTGATTTAATTTTATAAAATTCATTATTTTCAGAATTCTTCGTCGGGCGCCGAGATGAGTCAGATGACACCGCTCAACTCGACGACGGAAGGCTTCTTGTCGTCCATCCTGAACGACGAGGACCTCCAGCTCATGGACATGATGAACGACAGTGAGTATGACCGACGGCCAGTCGCACCTGCAGCGCATTATAGGGGGATGTTTATTTTTAATTTGCTGTATGGGGTCGTTGTTTGGATTCTTGAAGTTACAATTGGAGGTTTGCGTGGTCGGGATATAGCGTGTTAGGCGCATTTGTAATTTTACGCTCAAAAATCGCTACTTTACGGAAACCTAGAAATATTTCTCAGCCATGCGTCATGGTCATGGCAGGTGCGCTCAGAAAGTGTCGACCTAAACCATTTTCCATGGGAACGGAGCGTCAGTTTTCTAAGTGGCAATGTAATTGTTCCGAGGAAGTATGACAATGCGATACTTCAAGTTCAGACGAACTGGCTGCGTACGGTTTGGAAAACATCTGCGCAAATAAAGTTCCCCCCCCCCTCCCCCTCTGGATTTCAATCAGCTGCACGGCACAACGAGTCCTATCACACATGCGTTCAAGAAGGCCACACTTTAGTGTCGTCTCCGGAGCGGCGGAACTGCTCAACTCACTGTTAGTCAAACAATGTGACGCGCCACGTTCAATATAATGTGAATTGTGTCACATTCCTTTGAATACCATGTCACATTATTTGGAACGTAGGATGCCATTGCATCGCTCTGCCCTCGCGGGCTAAAGTGCATGGTGGAGGTTCCTTTGTCACGCACAATTACAACCTTATAAGGTTACAACCTTATACGAAGCAGATCCTTCGTACCTACGAAGGATTTGGCGTTTTTCTTCGTAAGGTTTTAACAGTGCGTTACATTGAATGTGACATGTGTAGTATTTTACCAATGTGACTGAATCATAGTCGTTCAAATGTGACGTCACGGTTGTTTGAATAACATGACAGTGTGCAAGTGAGTCATTTTCACTCCACAACATTTGTACGATTTCGTAACACACACGCAGATATTCAAATCAACGCAGAAAATTCGATTTCTGTGGATGCCAATATCTTAACATCTAAGGGCGCCAATTTTCAGTTACGTCTTCCTCTGGACATCTCAGTGCAGTGCAACGCGAGGTGTACTTTACGGTCAATTCAAGCGTACGTCCGGTTATTTCTGTATTTTTCTTGATATTTTCATTTAGTATTTGTCTGATTTCTTTTATTGATTTCCCTCAGATTTTCTTATTAACGTTTTTTTGTGGTTTTTGGATACGCTTTCATATTTTTTTGCGGGGGTTTGTACACACTGATTTTTTAAGTGAAATATCTATCTCCGGTTGCAACGTCGACCTGAAGGGCTGATTGTGGTAGTAGCGGTTGACGCGCGCGGCGCTACCCCTCGCGCAGTGGGCAGTACCCCGCGCGCGCTCGCCAGGGGTATCGGTATCGGCCTGCAGGCAGGGCAGACAGGACCATAATGGTTTGCCGTTCTTTGTACAGTGAGCTTGACAGTGCTTGAGGGAATCAAGCATAGAAAATGTTAATGCATTGACTTGTGCTTCAAAAAAAAAAAATACGGAATTTGGTTGGACAGTCCTGGAAAAATCGAATTTCTAGAATTACATTAAAAGTTTATTTTAAATTTTATGGTATGAATGGTATGAATTTTCAAATCCCGATATGACAATGTGGAAATTCACACAATTTTGTGTTGCTCCCACCTTAGTATGGCGTGAATTTAGTTTTATTGTTAAGTCTGACGAGTTTCTAATATTTCAATGTAAATGGTCATGGAAATTTTGAGAATTTAGTCTGGAAAGTCCTGGAAAAGCCCTGGAAAACACGACTGGAGCTAAAATGTGGGCACCATATTTGAGCGACGGTCGTCATTCATAATAAGAAGCAATTTTTTTTAAATCATTAGTGAAATAATAGAGAGTCGAAAACAACCGTCGTTCTTCGGAAAGCGACGCGCTCGTGACTCCCTCATTGTGCGCTTTGACGCAAGACACTACTCATTAACCTGACCATTCAGGTGCTAAAACGTTATTTTTAGCAGATAATATGTTTTATCAGCAGCTTAAACAGTCGTAAACTTAAAATTTACATCGTTAAAAGTTCGAACTTTGTTAGTTAAGCTTTTTTACAAAATTAGAAAGAATAATGGACATCTTTTTCTTTTTGTGTATCCTGTCTGGATGTGCAGAGAAACAATGCCCCGTTTTAGGAACAAAATTGCAAAGAATTGTTAACGGCCATTTTTTACCAACAGGCTTTCTCAATTAAATTGCACTATTTACTTAATGACCCGTGTGTATGGGCATATTAATGCACCGAAGAGGGAACAGGCCGCTTCTTCTCCCCCTCCCCTTCCCGCCCGGGGCGCCGCGGGGCGCGGGGGGGCGGAGACGGGTGGCCGCCGCCATGACTCGCCAGTATCTGCCAGGGCTGCCCGCGCGGCGGCGCACCGTCCGGTCCGTCCGGTCCGCATGTCTCCCGCGAGGTCCGCGAGGGCGGCCTCGGCCGCCACCCCTGCCTCCTCGCCGCTCGGGCCGTTCGCGTCCTCCTCATGCTCGCCGTCGTCCTCTCCCCACCGCGCCCTCCTGGAGGCGCCCGGCCTCGTCTGGGGCCGGCCCCAGACGATCCCCGCGACAAAGTACTTGCTGTGCTTCATTGGAGGCCCTGCTGGTCTCGGCGGTAAGCCCCCGGGGTGGCCGAGGTCTCGTGCTGCCTCTTCTTATCACATCGTCAGTCAGTCCACGTTTATCAGGGATCGCAGTCAGCCGATTGCGACGGTTTTTTAAATAAGTTACACGAATGTATGTTGCAGCGGGGCAATATATGATTTTTACAATCCTATCGCATCCGTTATAAACTGATATGCGGTGCATTTTTGCGAAGTTGTTTTGCACCTGATGGAATAATGATGCAGGTACTCATTTTAAGACTCCACAATTTTTCAAAGAACAACCTTGTAATTGACTATGGACCTCTTGCATTAATAATTGGATGCATAATTTGAGCAGCGTTTTTTTCACAGCGTGTGTAATTTATTCACAATATAGTGATCTAAATGTGTTACAATATTGTTTTAGTGTTAGTGTCCAGGTTAGTTATTCGATGACGTTCAAATGCATACCATTTTCGATGTTAGGGCCCTTGTTTGCGACCACCTGCTGCTGCCCCCCCCCCCCCTCTCTCTCTCTCTCTCTCTCTCTCTCTCTCTCTCTCTGTCACGATCGCCACGCTTTTTGCCGCCCGTCTCCTGAGAACAATAATTCTTTTCTTTTCGCTGTCGATAAGGAGAAGTTGTCGCACGTATGTCCTAGCGCGTCAGCCGTAGTGAGTGCGAGCGCGGCGGTATTTGTTGATTGAGAGATTCGCGCGCCTCCGTTAGGGCTTCTTGATAAGAGTTGGCGCGGCTCCACTAGAACACTGGGGAATAGCTTTCCTTTTCTTTCCATATTAAATAATTCACACACGAATTTTGTGAATTTACGATTGGTTGTCGAATCAGAGTTTTGTATTCTTCAGAGAACTTTCAACCATTTTCCCAGAGTGGCGGAGTGTAGTGGGAAACAAAAAACAAAGCACCATAACCTACGAGATAAAATGCCTTCGATCGCGTTCTCGGTTCTTTTCTTAAATCCGTGCTATGTGCCTATGATGGAGGTTGTGTCTGAACTTCTCGTACACAATCGATTTTGTGATCAGTAGTGGTCGCCCTTGGTTGTTGTTCTGCAACGCGTGCAGTCAGGCAGGGTTGCCTGCAACCCGCTTGGGGCTCGGCGGCCTCGGTGGCGAGCGAGGGCGTTTATGAGCAATAATAACTATAGGAGCAACAATAACTAACTAAAGGAGAGCAACACGGTTAACCCGCAAGGGCTGTGTAAAGTCCCCCACCCTGGGCGATAAGCGACAGACGGCGCACACCGTGACTCAGCGGCACTCAGCGCGTGTGTCTGTCTATGTGTAGTAGTGTAAGTGTGCGTGTGTGTGTGTGTGTGGCGAGGGGCATGCCGCAGGGCAGGCAGGGCTAGGGTACATAGTACTCTTCGCACGACAACAACGTCGTCTTGAATGAGCTACACTCGACTGTGCGGTGCGTGGGTGGGAGAGGGGTCAGACGCTCTTGACACGAGGTGTCTTTTCTACAAAACTGATAGGGATGTCTTTCAACGAGTACATACTGAATGCGTTGTATTTGTCATTATCGTGTTTGTCGTCTAGACGGAGACTACACCTCCGACACCCCCCCCCAAGAAAAGAACAAAATATAGAATCAGTACGTAGGGCATCCATAAAATTTCTTCTGGTTCTCATAGTTTACTTTCCGAGCGCACATCGTAAGTTTGATTATTTTCCGAGCCCATTTCCTCGTCCCTTTGGGATTATTGTCAATAGGTACATGGAGTTCGACCACTACAAGGATTTAGACTTGCGGTCGGTATCTCAGTACTGATTTCTCATTTCCAGACAACTAGTAAGATTTCAGCCATGTGAAATTATAAATAATTTACAGTAAAAAATTCTCAGTGAATGATTCATAATTTTACTGACGACAAAGTTCTAGTTACCATTTACCTCGACTTAACGGTCATGCAAATTTGTTTTGACAATTTATCATTCATAATTTATTCACATGGTTTTGGATAGTAAAAACTAAAATTCTAAGTTACAAGTGTTTTCGTGTTTACGTGCCTATTATATGCTGCTGAACATTGTCAGTGTGTATTGTTCCACAACTTTTATCAGTGAAGGGTGTCCTGCAGCGCAAGTCATGCCCGGGTTGACCAACCAGTCCATGATGCTGAATATTAGTCTGTCTTATCAGCCCGATTATCTAAAGCAAGGCAGAACACAATGAGAGAGGTGGGTGGAGCCAGGTGGAGGGGTGCCAGCCTTGATGAGCGTATGATTCAGTATACGGGCACACTCCGGGTCGACGGAACACTTTGGAACCCTTTTCTTGAGCACGTGGTGAGCGTTGAGCCTGGGGTAGGACTTCCCTCTGCATATGTTGATGGGTCCGGAGGCGGGAGAAGCGTCATCATCGGGTGGAACTTAAAATGTGGCCCTTAGTTTCGTCTGTCTCTTTGGGAGGGGAGGGGGGGGGGGTTGATGACCAGGGAAGGGGACAAATGGGACCGTCCGCGACTAGGGATTTTAATTTTCCAGTAATGTTTTGAGAAATTTTTCAAGATTTTTTTTAAATCTCCGATTTTTTTTTATTTTGACAACTCTAATTCTTTCCAAATTTTTCTGGTAATATTACAATTTTTTTGTCTATTTTTTGTGGGGAAAATTTCGGATTTTAAAATTGTTATCCGCGACCACGCTCTCCTCCGGTAGGCCCTAGTGCGACTTACCTCAGTGATGGACATGCTGCACCTCTCTGTTGCAGGCATGTACCCCCTGCGTGTGCTGGACGGCGCTGGCGCCCCCACCGTGCAGATGGGCGGCGCGCTGCCGGGCGCCGGCGCCTCGCTGGGCACGCCGCTGGGCAGCTCGCTGGGCGCGCCGCTGCAGGGCGCCAGCACCGAGGAGCGGCTGGACGCCTCCAGCGACAGCGCCGTCAGCTCGATGGGCTCGGAGCGCGTGGCGTCCCTCTCGGACGGCGGGGAGTGGATGGAGACCGGCTCGGACTCGGAGCCGTACCACCTGGACTGCAAGTACCGCGCCCACCCACACTCGCACGCGCCCCACGAGTACACGAGCGGCTACCGCGGCGCGCAGAAGAAGCACCACATGTTCGGCAAGCAGCGCTACTTCCAGGGCGAGCAGCCCGCCGGTACGTGTTCGAGCGCACGGTCCGGGAGGGGAGGAGGGGGAGGGGGAGGGGAAGTAGACTCGTCGCGCTCGTCATGGGCATGCGCCCGCCCGCGCGCGACTAGGTGCCGCATCACGCTGCTTGACGTCGGCACATTTCGTACTTTTTGAGTGCGGAGCTGCGATCCGCTGATCGGCCGCCTTTGGACGAAAGAGAGGTTGTCGCAAGGACGATACGACTGTAGCAGCAGGGCCCTGCAGCGAGCGAGCATCGGCATGCCTACATGACGTCCGAAAGCGATTGGAGTAAGAGGGAGCTTCGCGAGCTTCTCACTCACACTACCGCTTTCGGACGCCATGTAGACATCCGATGCTCGCTCGCTGCAGGGCTCTGGGCTGTAGTAAGCAGGAGTTCCGGTGACGCTCTCTCTGGTTCCGGTCAAGGACCGGATGTATAGCGGCCACTCACCAGTGAGGAGTTCGAGGGGGCCTCAACTCCGGCAATCTGGTGTACAGGCAATCTCCAGATGGATCGGGTCCAAATGTCATACTTTTTGCCTACATTAGGATAGAATCACTATGCGTTTTGGCTAGTTTTACGTCATTTTAGGTCCAAACAGCCAAATATTCGTCTAGCAATCTAGCAGTCTTATGGTAATCTGGTGTGCACACTACACAAGAGAGTTGAGGCCCCCTCTCGGAGGAGCTGTCCCGCCCTTAGTCTCTAGGCTAGGCCCATTACCAGCTGTTATCGGGCCGTGGAAGGGCTGCTGCTGCTGCTCAGTGATCCCCCGCGTGGCGAGCAGGTGCCGCCCGGCGCGCCGCTCCAACGGCGCTAGTCGACGAGTGCGTGACGGGGCTCTTTTGTCTTGCAGGAGGCCTGCCCGTGGGCCCGCCGCCGCCGTCAATGGCCACGCCCATGCCGCTCAAGCTGGACTTCGGCGAGTCGTCGCGGCCCGTGCCCGGCGCGCTGCCCCAGGGCGCCGCCCAGCACGCGGCCCCCGCGCCCGTCGCCATGAACGGCTCGGTGGCGTCCGGGCTGACCGTGCCGGGCTCCGGCGCCTCCGCCTTCACCTCGCCGCTCGCCATGGAGGACGAGGAGCTGCGCGCGCACGAGCTCAAGTTCGGCTACTACGGCCAGGAGTACCCCCGCCAGCACCACGGTAGGTCCAACAGACTGTGTGCGAGGTGTTCCCATACTCACACCCAGGAAATCGTTTCCCTGAATTTCAATGAAAGGTGCGTGCCCGAATCGAGCAAATTGACCTTAAAACAACATAGGGAAAATTTCCCTTGATTTTTGACAAAAATAATTCTTGATTTGAAGAAAAATATTTTTGGAAATTTCTTTGGTGCAAGGTGAAAGTTCCTCATATTTTTTCAAGGAAACGATTTTCTGGGTGAACAGCCTCTGCACTTTTGTTTTAGTAAGACACACCGAAAACCCAAGTGTGTGAATGTTGCACAGTTGTACGTGTGTGAACGACATTCGTACACATGCAAACACAGGTGTGTGAATTTCAAAGGGAAAACTCACATCTTTTCTCCCTTTCGTGTCCAAATGGGCATTCATACACCTACAACTGTGCTACATTAACACGCGTGCGTTGCTAGCCTGTACTGCTACTGCATGCGACGCGCATGTAAGCGTGCGGGTGTGTCGCCCACCCCGTCACTCACCATAGCGCTCTAGGGAGCATCCGGAAAGTACGCCCGTCGTTGCCGCTGCGCAACTGACAACTGATAAGCATAGCCCACGAAAGCTCTCCTAGCGCCTGATGGGTAGGCAACATCGTGGCTGCAGTGCACGCGTGTACAGCGGGGCGGCCTACCCTGAGTTTCGCAGGCGCCGAGCTCCTGTAATCCTCCTAATGAATCTGAGTAAAACCGGACGTACTTTCTGGACGACCCCTCACGCCTCAAAGCGAGTAGGCAACCTGTCAGCACGCATGCATGCGGTACAGTCTAGCCAACTAACCGCAAATTCCCGAAGATGTCCATAGATTTTCTTTTCAATGAACAGTTTTTTAAAAAAATTGAAAATGTTTCAAAACATTTTTTTTTGTGATGTAGCCCGGCCGCCCATGGAGCCTGTCGCCCACAACCACACCTACCACTTGCCTCCCCCACCCGAGAGCAGTGGTGCCATCCAGCGACCTCCGCAGAGGGACAAGCACAGGTCCAAGGACTGTAAGTTTACAACATCCTCTCCTTTGTGCTTTCGTTTCTCTTTCTTTACCTTGCGGGTTTATTTTACGAGTGGGTCTTGTTCACGTGTGTTTCAGCCCGCAAGAGTGACGACGCTCACTTGTCGAGGGATGAAAAGCGCGCCCGCGCCCTCAACGTGCCCATGACCGTCGACGACATTATAAACCTCCCCATGGACGAGTTCAACGAAAGGCTTTCGAAGCATGACTTGAGCGAACCGCAGCTCTCTCTCATCAGAGACATTCGCCGCAGAGGCAAGAACAAGGTCAGTCAAAAATTTACCCAGGCTACTTTTTTTTGTAACATTTTGAAAATTTCAATTTTTCCTCATAAATTTTGTTTACCAACTTTTTAGGTTGCCGCTCAAAATTGCCGAAAACGCAAGTTGGATCAGATTGTAACGCTTGCTGATGAAGTGCAGCAAATGCGCAGCAGAAAGCAAAAGCTTCTTCGGGAGCATGACTACCTCACCAGGGAGACTGCACATTCAAAGGACAAGTTTAGTCAGCTCTACAGGCATGTCTTCTCGGTAAGTTTTTACTCAAACTTGTAAACCTCTCAGATTGATTGAGAGAGAGGTTGCTTTCTTTTGCGTGTGGCATCTTCTGACTTGTGCCCTCTTCTGTTGCAGTCGCTGCGTGATGCCGATGGCAACCCCTACTCCCCGTACGAGTACAGTCTGCAGCAAGGTCCGGACGGCAGCGTGATGGTGGTGCCGCTGACGTCGAGCCCCTCTGGCGCTGCCTCCGCCTCCACCATGGACGCGGTGCACCAGCAGATGTCGCGCTCTCTCGCCATGGCAGAGTCCGCGGCCTCCCTCCACTACAGCCGCGGGGCCATGCCTCAGCACCAGGCCGACCGGCAGAAGGACCAGCAGCACCAGCAGCAGC